TACTACGACTATTACTATTACTACTACGGTTACTGCCACCGTCACCACGACACCACTCCCACTACCACAGGAAGTGCTGCTGCTTTGTCGCTGAAATTTCGGCCTACAAATACGATCTACTGCTTTTCGCTTTGTTGATGAACTGTCATTGCTGAAGTTTTTCATCGGCGGCCTTGATGATATCTTTTCCAGGTCAGTCTTGTTTACAAGCTATTACAAGCTTCTGCTATTGAACCCACGGCCACCAACATCCGTCAGCCCTCAGTACGAGTTGAACACATCTCTGCGTTTTCTGAGGATAGCAGTCTGTTTGGGTGTTCCACTTGCCGAATCAAGGTTGCTTGGTTGCAAGGGAGCCCGACCACCCTTGACGGTCCCCGAGAAGTGCGGTTCCATGACCTGCTGCGATTCCGAGCGTTGTGAGTCGGTGTGAGTATATAATACAGGTAGTTCGACCAGGTCTGTAGGGTATATTTTCATCATATATAAAAACACCATATGCGACCATGTAGTATAGTATGATATAACATAACATAATGCGATTTAATATAATATGCTAAGCGGCTATGAATACTAACTGGCTCGACACCCATATCATGGGGTAGGATAAGATATTCTCATGTTTTTCACAGGACCAAATCTGGAATGGTAAAGCACCCAGAGCCAAGTCTTCGGCAACTCTGCGGCCTCTGCCGAGGTCGATGACGGTGAAGAGATCTTCCACGAAGACTCTGCAGACCTTGTCCGCGGGCTCGAATAAACCTGACAAGGCTCGAGGGCTCACATACTTGAGCCGGGTTTATTTCGCATGTTACGTTGGCAGCGATCCATGGAATGTAGCACAAAAGCTCTAATCCTCCAGCATAGCCACCCTGGTTCCGAAGCCGCGACTTTTGAGTTTGCAGGATCCCTCCCCATCGCTTCGCCGCAGTCCCACCCAGGATGCTGCTACTCGTCAGTTCCGCTTTAGGGTTTCGGGTTTTGCGAGGGTCGTGTAACTACGAGCAGTAGAAGTCGACTCCAACCGCTTAGCTTTGCTGAGAGAGGGTCTCCGCCGTCATCGTCGTCGCTGCAGCAGCAGCCGGAGGTCAGGATTCTCCCAGTAGCAGTGCAGCCGTCGTTTTCGTCACGGCGGCCGCTATCACAGTAGGAGCAGCATAAACAGGAGCAGCAGAGGCAGCAGGAGCAGCAGGAAGAGGAGCAGGAGGATGAGGACGAGGACGAGGACGA